GTTCATTGATATTTTGTTATCTGTATTTGTTGATATATGAATGTAATATCAAATTGTGATTATTTCACAATTTTGACTATCATTAAAATTGTGAAATCGGTAAATGTCCGTCCGTTTAGATCATTGGGCGAGCTGAAATTGAGCTCGGACACTGAGTGTAATATTTTATTTGAAAATTGATCCTGATCAGGATCCATGCTGTTCACTATCAGTTTCTCTACTTGTAATAGAGTTGGTAAGCGAACAGCATGGATCCTGATCGGACTGCGCGGATGCGCAGGCTGGTCTGGATCCATGCTGGTCGCAAACGCACTATGTTGGTTTTGTCGTGACGCGGCTCAATATTAATTTCTCCGCAAGAGACCGACTACTAAACCCACAAGATTTCTGAATCAGAGCTGAAAGACAAATTAAAATATTACATTTATATATCCCATTTAAAAAAAATGAATCATTTAATCAAATAAAACGGTTAATTATATGAAAACAAAGAGAATATTTTGCAAACTGGTCTGGATCCATGCTGGTCGCAAACCCATTATGTTGGTTTTGTCATGACGCGGCTCATATGATAATTTCTGGATAGTTAACCAGGAAAGTTGGTTGTGTGGATCGACCAAAAGGATGTTAAAATCGGCGAAAAAAGCAATAGAAAAAGAAACAAGCAAGTACAATAATGAGACGTAAAGTAATAACATAGTATGTTTTACTGGTAATCTAAAGTACATGCTGATATAACATAAAACAAGGAAGATAAATCTGCATTGCATATACACTACCTGTAGCATACGCTGTGGAGTTATCTCTCTTATCAACAAAGAAAACGGCTCTTGTAATTTGTTTAAGATAGCAATAAATCTATATTTTTGTGTCTTTTTACCTCTGTGTATGAATGAGACTTAAAACTAAAGTATATAAAAGCTTAGGGATATAATTAACTGTAAGATGTATTTCCAAATCTAGTAATAAAACATAAAAACCAATTTCAGTGATATATTCGCTACTACTCCTAATTGACTAAGGCGAAGCAATAATAAAACAGTTTTACTTGATAAGTAGAATTCCTCATAAAACTCTCAATGTTCTACAAAAGAGTCACGGCTGGTACTGCAATCTTATATCATCAGTTTTCAAGGTATGGAAACCTACTAATAAACTAAATACCCTAGTTTAGTTTAGAGCAGAAAGTTTCTAGATTCAGGCTAATTTTCCTGAAATTTTTGAAAATTTATTAAAAAAGTATAATATTTTGAAATAACCAAAAGAAAGCAATTTACACATTATCAATGACAATTGCAGCCCACGTAAATTACCAAAAAGAAGTAAAAATATGCAAACATAGCCTTAACGCAGTAGAAATGTATTTATTAATACTGAAAAATCAGTCATAAATCGTACATAACATGTAAATTATTACTTAAATCTTGATTTTGTTTACTTTACCTAAAATGTTATAAAATGCATATTTCTCAAGTTTGATTTTATTGAAATACTTTGGTTCATCTGGAGGTATGCTGCCTTAAACATATTCATTTTTACTCGATTGTAATAAAATAGCTTAGAGCTTTTTAAAACCATTCACGAGTGTGTCTCCTGGAGCTTACCAGTACTGGTGTCATATTAGGAAAATCGGATTGTGAACCAACTCAAGCTCGAACCCACAATCCGTGGTTTAGAGGCAGACACTTTAATATTATGTCACCGCTCTCATTGAAAACATGCTAGTCGACCGGGATCAAAAGTTAAGTACGTTCATCATTAGGGCCTGCAGTACTTTGATTTAGCAGTCAATGTCTTAAATACGAAAGACCGGTGGCAGCATTTCAACTTCTTGAATTATCGGGATCATCTTCACGAATTCACAATTTCAATTTAATGAATTCACTATTTCAACATAAGGGATAACAGAACTCACGATTTCAACTTCATGAATTCCCGATTTCAACTTCACGAATTCCACTTAGCGAATTCACGTCTAGAATCTCACGGTTTCAGCTTCGAGAATTCACGATTTTAAAATCACGAATTCATGAAATTGAAATCGTGATGTTCCAAACGTAAATTCATGAAGTCATTGAATTCGTGAAGTTGAAATCGTGAATTCCGTTTGTTAAAAACTTGAGTTAGCTGTTCGTCTTCAGATGAGTTGACATTTTTTTCCAACATTTTTTAGCAAAATCAAATTGAGAAAAAATACTTAGACTTTTAGAAAAGGAGATAAAAGTAATAAGTTCCATGTTATGTGCGATCTATTGCCGATTTAACAGTATTATTCACCTTAATTCCTACTGCATTACTAACGCAGTAAGGGCTATTTTTGTGTATTTTGACCTTTTTGATAATGTCAATGGGTTGTAAGCGCTGTTTGCAATGGGAATGTTAATATCTACTTTTAAATACATTTTCGAAATTTTCAAACATGAATCTGGAGTAGTGCTTTAAGTTAAAGTTATTTAAACATCTTTTGACTCCGCTGATGGTCATGACCCGGGAGAGGCACAAACTCTAGGTAAAGGGGCAGACTGTTACAACCGGACAACCCATCATGATTCAGCATTCAATTTATACAGGGGCGTTGAAGGCAAAAGGGATGAACCATACGCTGTCAACTTTCTCAGTATCTCATTGTGAGGTTGCGCAACTGTTGTCAGAATTTGAAATTTTAATGGCGCGAAACCGCCATTTAAATGGTAAATATGACCTCTCGAAATGACATAGATCAGTAATTAATATAATGAAAATAACTGAGTAATCATATAACTCATACTAGAGGCGGAAGAAGGCTATATACGTTTTAATGAGAAATTCAAAATGATTTACTGCTTAAATTGTGGTTAGATATTTTTTATTCTGAATTTTATTATGCTCCTATCGGCACAGAAAACTCATTTTCATGTAGCTTCCGACATATGCAGAATATGCTAAATATTGCAGCAAATTCAAGTTTTTTTGGTCAGAAATGCATCAATTTATTGTAATTAATTTAACTAAACTAAAGTAAAAGTTAAATTTTTAAAAACGAACTGTTTATTATGTTGTCTGCTATGTGCCATGTTGTATTTTCGTGGGACACGAAAATTCGACAAAGTGGTTATTGTTTAAGTACCGTCGTGTTTTTGCCTTATGCCCTGCGCAGCTTCATTCGCCAATAACATGCATCGATTTCAAAAGTGATGACTGACATTTATGAATAAATTTCCCCATCATGAAGTCGGTGTATAAAAAAACAACGTCGTCAGCAAGAAAAATTATCATCATCATCTTTAACACCATCAAAACCATAACAATCATTACCTCCATCGTATATAACATCAAAATCGTTAAACTCTTGATCACGTCTATAAACATCAAAATCATTAGTAGCTTCATCAAAATCATTAGCAACATCATCAAAATCATTAGCAGCATCATCAAAATCATTAGCAGCATCATCAAAATCATTAGCAGCATCATCAAAATCATTAGCAGCATCATCAAAATACTGATTATGATGTTGACGATGTACTGATGATTATAACCATGATGATGATGATGATGATGATGATGATGATGATGATGATTGATATGATGTAAATGATGTAATGATGATGTTGATGATGAAGATAATGATGTGCCGCTGCTGCTGCTGCTATTGCTGCTAGTGTTGTTGTTGTTGTTCTTTTTGTTGATCATCATCATCGTCATCATCATGATATAAATAATGTTGCTTTTTTGTTTTTGTCTTTTTTTCCCTTTTTTTAACACAGCGTATGTGAATTATATGGGGAAAAACGTGTGCAATGAATACCAATTGCACGCATATACAATTTACTTTGTAAAAATGGTGAATCTTGTCATATACAGCACCTTTCTGTTGACAGCTTTATTCGTTTCAATTGTGGACAAGTGTCGATAGAAAAAGCTCTCCGGCAAGGCCTTTTCGTTGAGAGCTTTATTCGGCGTTAAAGTGGGCGGCAGAAACCAGAATCAAAATAAATAATGATGTATTCATGGACGTATGAACTGACTTCCGGGATAGCTTGCTTGGATATCGACCTCGAATTCCTTAATCATTAGTTAGTTAACAAGGCAGCTTCTGAAATGCCTTTGGATCTTTTTGACCCCGCACATGTTTGAATTAATGCACGAAAAAACTTATGGGTCTCGCAACACAAGTACAAAATGGAAAGTCGGCATTAACAGTGTCGATTGCACTTTAAAAACGTTTTAGAAATTATTCGAAACGTAAAATGATTTGTAAAACTCGGCTTTGGAAATGGAACAGCATTAAATGCTATGGTAACTAATGTCATTTGTTGATATTCTATAAGTCCTAGATATACATTAATCTTCAAGGTCTTGTTCATTTTTATTTAGATAAAATCGGAATGGGGTATACCATGTACTACATGCCATTACCAATATAAAAAAACGTCTTTGACCATGTATTTAAATTACTGTGTGCTAGTGGCAAGTGCGCTGCTAGTAAACGCTTAAACATTTTCCCCAAATCTTTACGGTTATTATGGTCCATGAACACATTTTACGTAATAGATTATTTGAATATTTCAAATAATTCAAGAGAGGTATGTTAATCATCTTTATCCACATTTAATAAAAGATGGAACATGTGTTTTCTTTCTGTGGAAAAGTCCAATGTGTTGTATAATGTTGTATAAATAGCTCTTGAACATGTAAGATGCTAATCGCTTCAAGAAATAGCGCAGAACGAGAAATAATTTGTATAATAGAAATTAAAGTGTAAAAATTGTTTATTTTGACCTCCAAACAAGATATTAAATCACTATAACTGTATTACTTGCTATAGCGCAAAATAATAGAATAAGACTGAGATGTATACACAATAAACAACTTTTTGAAGTTTATTAGGTCGCCAAAAATAAAAAGCTTTTGGAGGGTCAATATTATAATAACATTTTGAGGCTTAATGGGCCTTTAAAATGTTATCTCGGTATTCTACTTCAAAACATATAGATGAATAAACAAACCAACAAATAAGATTTGCTTAGATCATTTATTTGCAATAGAGTGAAAATAGAATAAGGCAATACAATCAATGCTTTTGGTCGCCTATGGGAAAGATTATATAAGCCTACTATTAAGTAATTAGAATAATATACTACTAAGTACGACAGCAAAAGATATAAAAAAAAAGAATGAATCACAGCACTACCACACCTATTATATATTCTATCATTCTTATATTATTCCAAACATTCCTGTACTTTTCGGCCGTATACAATTTGTCTTCATCTTGATTTCCGGTAAATTACTGGGCTATTTGTCATCTTTACCCAATACGGAAACGTTTCCACGACCGATAATCTCTTGTAAAGATACTTCTTGTTTAGAATAAGCAGCATAACGACAATTTATTGAATTTTTATCTATTTAATTGTACCTTAAAGGTAATTTCACCTTTCCATGTATTTCAGATGTTTAAATTCTAAATTTGTTTCCACATAACAGTTACATTTTTCATCTGAATTGAGTAATTATTTGTTTGTTAGATACATGTCATGGTCACTTTACACTACAATACCATTTGGTTTGGGTGAAAGAGAAAGGAATGCACTTTTTTTAGATACAATTTTCCATGTGAAAATGATATGTGTTTATTGTTTGGTTACGGGAAATACTTTAGTATCAAAGTATGCGCTTATTTCGGTATTTTCTTGTATTCAAAACATATTTTCAAGATTCTACAATATTTTTTTTAATTAAGTCACACAGGAAGAAACGAAAAGAATTTGTTATTGTAAGGATAAATATATATAGGGCTTCCATTCACATTTGTTCTGGGGTGTTCTTGCATTTCTCCCACATTGTGTATTTCTTGTAACCCGTATAGCATCCGCTGACACTCCTTTTCGGCTTACATGGGTCCCAGGGCTCGCAGCATCTACCCCAGTTTTTATTGTGATCTACGTAACACCAATAGTAACTTGCCTTTCCAATCTCCTGGTGCATCCCACAGGGTACTGATTCCACGCACTTCCTACCTTTCGTATCTATAGATCCAGCGTCGCCACAATATTGCCATTTTGAACCAGACTTACACCACATGTAGTTGTAACCATGGAAATCGCATGTATCTGTACAGCAATAGTCCCAGTGGTCCTGGGCGTCGGTGTAGCACCATTTGTATGAGTAACCATGATAACCGCATGTAGTATCTTGTCGGCATCGCGTATTACCTGCAGTAAAGCTGTTGAACTCCAAACTGTGCATAGAATACCTTCAGTGCGGATATCCATGCAAAACTCATTGAAATCTGGTTCATTGTAGTCTAAAAGCTCTGATAAATCAGAGAATTGCCCTGGAAAGTCCAATGGTTGATGAGGATTCAGTGGTTGAGACATGGGCTTTCCTTTACACCTAGCGGTACATTGATTGATCTGTCTCTTCACGTTGTCCTTCATCGTACAGTTACTTGCACCGCCCCGTTCGACGTTCATCCATGAAGTGATCCATTGTTCCGTGCAGTCAGAATCGTCTGCTTCTGGGCATGTCTTAATAAAGTCGTTGATCATCGCAGCATTCATTGAAAGTTTCGCAGATTCCTTGCAAGAGCAGCATAAGTCTTTATCTATACAACGAAGCATGCAGCCTTGGAACGTTTGCCCAGGATTATTTTCGACACGTAAAACATCGTCGTCTTGCTCTTTGCGGTAACCATGGGTAACCGTACAAAGAACAACTACCACAAAGATGTGTGCAAATCGTGGCATGTTGAACTGAAACCAAGCCTGCAAAAAATGAAACATTTCTGATAGTATACACATGAATATTGATAAAGATTTACTGTTCAAATTACAAAACTTAATCAATTCATTTATTATTTATTAATTTATTTATTAATTTATTTACGATAATCAAACAAATAATCAAATCTTGAGCTGAACAGTTTCTTTCTAATCAGACGTGTTTTGCATATTCAAATTATAAATAACATGCACTTTTTAAGAATTAAATTAATGAAAAAAATTCCAACTTAATGTAAAATGCTTAACTGTCAAATGAAATACATACCACCGTTACCAAAGCAATGTAACTGTGACTTTTTCTTTGCCGTATCAATATAATATATACGCTGACTACTGTATCCGCCTAGATTGGCCGTGTGCCCGAACTTCTTGATGAAAAGAGATAAACTGTTATCTCTTAGCTAGAATTTTAAAATCTCAAGTTGTCATGAAGGCTACTAATATTTTATTGTTTTAACGGCACAATTTGTCTTAGAAATGAATATGTTTTCTTCCTCAGATGGGGAAAGCAAGTGTTTTATAATTTTAATTATGCTTTTCAAAATTATTTAAAGCATCTGAGATGCTTATCATTGGTAGAAAGTAGCTCAGAATGTGAACTTAATTTGTAATAACGGTAGCAAATGTAAACAAAGTCCTACTTTTACCAAAGAGCAGAAGAACAAAAATATTATATTTTTCAGTTTGAGTAGTTGCTAAGGGTTTTGATGTGTTTTGTTGGTGGTGGTGTTGTTGTTGTTGTTTTGTTGTTGTTGTTTTTAACCGTAACCGGCCAACCTGAAAACAAGGAACTTTAGAGATGGTTTTTAAGTGGTTTCCAACTTTCTTATTAGTATGTAATATTTCCCTTCTCAAATACATGTAAAATACCACGGACACAATATAAACAATACACCGATTAGAAGCAGTGTAACGGTTGTAGCATATGGTACAATTTGAAATCCATCATTCGGGGACATGACCCGAATTTTAACAATCCGTCTGTCCCCGGATTGCTGGGACAATGGGAATGATTCGATTTGCGCCAGAATACCAGGTGAGGTGATATATCATACTCGTTGTTACCTCAACAGACTGTAGAGTGGTGACTTTGCGAAAAGTTACAAAATTCACAGGTCCAAGTCCTCGCTAGTCATGGAATTGTGATTGAAATTTTTGCAAATAACCGGGATGTAACATCGTCAAGATTACACCATATGTTTCTTATAATTGTTCACTGAACCCGGATCTTGCAATTATACAATTAGATTTCGAATATTAATAAACCGATGTACATCCGTGTTTGAGTATTTATTAATAATTTTATTTATTTATTTTTATTTTATTTATTTAAAATTGTTATTTGTTTATTTATTTTAATTTTATTTATTTATTTATATATTTATTTTAATTCATTTTAATTATATTTATTTTTCATTTATTTATTTTAATTAATTAATTTATTCATTCATTTGAATTAATTTTAACTAATTAATAAATTAACTAACTAACGAACTCACTAACATACGTGTTCTTTCTTTCTATTTTTCCTTCCTTTCATTCTTTCCTTCCTTTCATTCTTTCTTTCTTTCTTTTTTGATACTTTTTTTCTTTCTTTCTATGGTATAAATTAACTTCTTATCACATAGTATATTTACATTTCCAAACATTAATGCTAGCTATATATTTTACCAGCAACTGAACGAATAACTTGACAGAAACCTTCCTATGACTTCCCTTACACTGACCTTAAACCTCAGAAGTGATAAAATGAAACATCGACAAGGGAAATAGAAACAAAAACTGTCGTACTGGTAACTTGCTTAAAATGGAAATAATTCTTAGACTAATCTGTCTGGTAAAAGGTTATCGGGTGACGTACAGTATATAGTTAAGTTTAATATTTCAGGAAAGTTCACCATTGTGGCTAAGGAATGGCTTTTAAAGGCCAGGCATCAAAAATGTAGCCATCGTTTAAATCCCTGTAGGGTTTTTAAAAAAGGAAAATTTAAGGGGGGTTTAAAAATTTAATTTGGCATCACCTTAGCCCAAAAGGGGGGTTTTGGACGCTGATTTTGGGTTTTTAGTTTTGTAACAAAAAAGGGTTAAAACCATTACCTTCTTTCCGTTTCGGGAAAAATATGACAAAAATTTCGTGTTGGTGCGCCGAAAATTTCCAAAACCCAAACCAAAAAAAAAAGGCAGAAAAGTAGCATTTTTTATTAAAAGTATGCAATATTCCCGGGCTTAATGAAAGCCCCTAAACATAAAAAAAAGGGGTTTTTTTAAAAATTTAAACCCCGGGGAAAATTTTTTTTAAAAATTTAAACCCTTTTATAAAAAGGGTTTGAAAAGAAAAAACCCACCAAAACGATTGAATAAACAGTCGCAATGGACATGGCAACAATAACAGTTTTGTTAACAAACATTCAAAAAAAATAAACGATTACTCAGACAATAAAACCCATGCAGCCTTTATAACACAAGATAATTAATTATCTAAGATTCTGGATTTTTTGATAGCGGTTTCCCTTTTTCCGGGCCAATTTGGAAAATTTTTGGGGGAAAAACCTCTTTTTTAATGGGAACACCAAAAAAACGGCGCGGGGGAACTTTGGTTTTGGCGAAGGGGTTTGGTGTTTGGAAAAACCTATTTATTTTGCATTTTTTAAAAATGAACCCTTTCTTTAATGGGGTTTTAAATTTTAAAAATATATGCGTTTTATTTTTAGTTTAAAACAGTAAAAAACTCATTTTTAAAACTTTATTTTAATTTTTTTTTGTCATTCATCCAAAACAAAAGCTATTTTTAAAATTTAAACCCAAATTTGCTTTTTTTTCCCAAAAGTTTTTTAATTTTACGGGCGGGTTTTTTTTAAAAGGGACAAGATTTAAAAATCATTTTTTGTTGTGTTGTTCTTTGTGGGTTTTCCCCTTTGCTTACCGAAAAGTTTAAAGACGACGTTTTACGGGGTTCAAAAATAATCCGGGGCCCAAACTTTCCCGGGGGCGGGATTGTTTTCGTTGTATAGCAAAGACTTATGTGCTTTTTGAAAGGGAATCTGCAAAATTTTTAAATTAAATTTTCCCGGTTTGACAACGACTTTTTTTAAGACATGCCCAGAAGCAGACTTTTGAACTGCTTTGAACAAGGGTTTCACCCCATGGATGAACGCAAAAGGGGGCGGTGCAAGAAACTGAAACGAGGGAAGGCCCAACGTAAGGGGAAAAGATAAAATCAATTTTCCGCTAGGTGTAGGGGAAAACCCCAATGTCAAACCTTTTAAACCTTTCATAACCTTTTGGAAACCTTTTCCAGGGCAATTCTCTGTTTTATCAGAGTTTTTAGACTACAAAGAACAGTTTTCAATTTTTTGCAGGGATACCGGGGGGAAGGGCCTACCCCCTTTCCACACAGCTTTACTGCTGGTAATACACGATGCCGACAAGATACTACATGCGGTTATCATGGTCACTCATACAAATGGTGCTACACCGACCATCAGGACCACTGGGACTATTGCTGCACGAGTTCATGCGGTTTCCGTAATGGTGAAAACTACATGTCGTGTCAGTCTGGTTCAAAATGGCAATACTGTGGCAATGCTGGATCTAGAGATACGAAAGGTAGGAAGTGCTTGGAATCAGTTCCGTGTGGGATGCATACGGAGATCGGAAAGGTAAATTACTATTGGTGTTACGTAGATCACAATAAAACCCGGGGTAGATGCTGCGCGCCCTGGAACTAATGTAAGCCGAAATTGACGGTCAGCGGATGCTATACGGGAAACCAGAAAAACACAGTGTGGGAGAAATGCAAGAACACTCCGGAACAAATGTGAATGGAGCCCTTTCATATATCCTTACAATAACAAATTCTTTTCGTTTCTCCCTGTGTGACTTAATGTAAAAAAATACTGTAGAAGCTCGAAAAAAAGTTTGAATACGAGAGAATACCGAAAAAAGCGCATTCTTTGATACTCAAGTATTTCCCGTAACCAAATAATAAACGCATACCATTTTCAAATGGTAAATTTGTATCTTAAAATAAGCGCATACCTTTCTCTTTCACCCAAACCAAATGGTATTGTTGTTTATCAATCAAGAAAAAAGTGATCAAGACATGTATCTAACAAACACTTAATTACTCAATTAAGATGAAAAATGTAACGTAAAAGTTGGAAAAAAAAATTTTAAATTTGAAAAAACTTAAATACAAAAAGGGGAACTTTCCCCTTTAAGGGGACAATTTTAAAAAAAAGGGCAATAAATTGTCCCTTAAAGCGCTTATTTTTAAACAAAAAAGTATCTTTTCAAGAGATCATTGATTCCCGGGGCAAATTTTTGATTTTTCAGAGCTTTTAGACTACAAAGAACCCAAAATTTTCCCAAATTTAGTTTTGCCAAAGGTAGCACTTGGGAAGGGATTTAATGCCCCCAGGTTGGAGTTTCAACCCGTTTAAAAGGGAGGTAAAACCATGGTTTGGGCATTGTACAACATGCCGGGAAAATCACGGAAAAATTTCCAAATGGGGGGACGCCAAAACACTGGGATTTCTGTTTCAGATAAAACATTTTCCCCCCCGGTTTTAACTACATGTGGGTTAAATCTTTGGGTTAAAAAGGCAATTTTGGCGCCGGGGTTTTAGTACAAAGGTAGGGGAAATGCCTGGAAATCATAACCCGGGGTTTCCCCCAGGAGATCGGAAAAAAAAACTATTGGTTCCCCCTGGGTAAAAATAAATTGGGGCGGCTGCGACCCGGACAGATTTAAAGAAAGGGGACCCCTGGAATTTCTACCCCGAAATACACCCAATTTGGGAGAAAGCAAGGGCAGTCCAGAATAAATGTGAATGGAATCGTTTTATCATTTTCTTCTATGGTATAATCTTGTTTTTAGTTACTTCTGTTTGTTTTTTGTGGTTTTTTTTGTGGGGAACGGGGTAACAAAAAAACTTATCAAATTAAATGCCAGAATGACATCGTTATTTATAATTTTTATTTTGATGATCATAATTATCATTTAAAGTGAAAATAAGGTATTTTTTCTTCAAAGCTCATGCCTGTAGGCGTTCTTATATCAATCCATGTTCGTATTATTACTGTATAATATTTATGTGGTATCGGTCTTTTATGGTATTGACAAGAAATTGGTGGGCCACATACTAAAGGAACAATTAAATAAATAATCATTGCTGCTAAACAGTAAATAATTCTATCAAATACAAAGAAAAAAAATATTAGAATTTGGCCGCAATGTTAACTTACTGAAAAGTATGGAAAGCCGTAACGGCTGGTTTTAAATTAGATGACTGAGGGAATGCAAGGTTTGTGGAAAATACCCTCTTTTTAACACAGTGTAATAGAACAAATAACGGTCCGGTGAATTATTGTGCACTTTATTCCAAAAAAATACAGGAATATGAGGAATAACAT